CTTCCACTGTGGACTCCAACCAGCTCGCTAATGCTGCTGACTATACGGTAAGAATTGGTTAAAGACGTGATTTTATTCTCTTTTCTTTTCCGCTCTGTTCTTGTACGTTGTTAAAAAATGGTGGCATTTATTACTAGCTATTCACGTGCGGCTTCATCCGCATGAAATTATGAAAATTCTATTTTATTGTTTACATTTGTCAAATCATCAATAGCAAATGTCAAAATGACATGACATTACAAACCTTGACAGTCTTGCTTCCTTGATGTTGGCAGCAACTTATGGTCTCTTTCCCACATTAGGGTTTTTATCCAAAATATTTACCTCCTAAGTTTTATGGCATGAAAATATATAGCCTAAAGCGTGACGTAACTGTTACTAAAATAACTTTGCGTCCTTAATGTTGGCAGCTTGTAGTTCATAGTCCCTTTCCCACGTGAATATTTTTTACAGTTTATTTAGCCCCTAAGTCTAATAGCGTGAAATATATAGCCTAAAGCATGTAGTAAGTGTAGGGCTTTTTATTAAAAAAAGAATTATTCAAAAATATGGTGTAATAGCTGACATCTTGGGCAACAAAGAAGTGTGTTTACGCTTTATTATAATACTATGGATTGTATATTTCAGGTCCAAGGTCCAGGAGTTCAGAAACAGATCTATCGTAACACTGAGCCTCCGAGCGTTGTAGAACGTAATGCACGTATTATAAAATGGCTGTGTCAATGTCGCAAGACTCAAATGCAACCTCCGCAGTGAAACGGTACATATATAATTTTAAGAGCGCTGTAACTAATTCGCACAACTGTTTACCTCGTTTTGATTTCTATCAGCTTATATGGATTTACTCGATTTTTAGTTGTACAACTAAACAGTTGAATTGGCTGCAAATCGACAATCGATCAGTTGTGCGATAGTTTAGTCAAAGCTGAACGTTAATGCGACAACCGTAATGTGTGTCAAATGATATTTTCACTAAAAAATATAATCAAACGGGGATATCTAACCTGGTAAGAGCATATCGCAGTAATTTCTGTCAGAAAATATGTTAAACGCACTTATATGTAGAATACTAGTTGTTGCTTGCGAATCCGCCCCCGTGTTATTAAAAATAATAAAAAAACAGCCTATTTTAATCACTGATAACATAGCTTTTAAATGGTTAATTTTTAAAATCGGCCCAGTAGTTTTTGAGTAATTTCAATACATATAAAAATACAAATCTTTCCTCTTTATAATATTAGTATAGATGTCATCATGTGACACTTTTTTATTTTAACAGAGGTTATAAAGTTTTCATAATTTAGTTTAGCTTATACCCACCGGTGAGATATCCTTGTCGGGTTATACTGTCAATTTTCTCAGTAATCAAATCTCAAATGATAAAAATTATACATTTAACTTTGACAATATGGTAATTTGAATATTTCTTCACCTCCACTGAAGCAATAATTTATCAATAATTGTTTAAACAAATCGCAATGTACCAATGCTATTCTCGTATCTCGTATCTTTTTCTCCTAATCGTTATAAAATTAAGTGTAGGCTGTGTTCATAAAAATTAATGACTTAGGTATTTGAGTAAGACTTTCAAATGTCAAATTAAGATTTTAATAATGGCAACATTGATTTAATACTCGAACTAATATCGATTAGTATGCTGATATTAGATATTATCTGTATTTAAAACTGATTTAAAGTTCATACTGCCGAAAATGATCTCTTTTACTCTCTTTCGACTGTAGTGGCACATAAATATTGCTGTTTTTATTTTATCAAAGAGAATGTAAGAAATGGCAATATTAAAAAAGTGCCACTGCAGTGTTAAGAGAATATCTTGATTTTTTATCTGTAATTTGTGACGTCTGATTGATCTTTGACAAATATAGTCTATGATATCGAATAATGACTAAACTAGTTCACTAGTTAAGATCTAGATAGGTTATAGACTAATCTAAGATATAAAACGTTGGTTCAAAATGAAGAATTAAAATATGCCTAATTATCTTATATATATCTATAAGTAAAAATTTTTAGGTTATACTTGACAGTGACAGGTAAGCTACAAAAATGTTATGATTGGCTGATGTTAGTAATCTTGTCGATTTTCAAAACAGTTAAGTTTTTTTCTTTTATTGGTAACGACAAAATTGTTATATCGAATTTAAACACAAAAATATATCAATTTAGTTGTTTGAATAATTATTAGTTAACTGTATAGCCGAATTCAATTAAATTAGCGAGCCTACAATTCCCTCAAAGGCCGGCAACGCATCTATAGTTCCTCTAGTGTTGCGGATGTCTATGGGCGTCGTTGACCACCTTGGTGTTCCCGTCGCTCGTTTGTCCCCTTCTCATATAAAAAAATGAATAACAACAAACTTATTTAATTTTACCTTTAAGGCTGTATTTAAAGATTTATTTGAAAACATACATTTGTATCATCAATTTTAACACCGAAGCATTATAAAATAAAACCATAGACAATAAATATTGGGAGACAGTAAAATGTCAAAAACGTACTTCAATTGAATTCGACTAAAGCATGTAAAAAGTTTTTAAGACGTGGTTTTGTTATAAAGTTCATAACTTTTAATGATTACTTTATTACGAGTTCTTATGTACTTTTTTCTAAGTTCTTACGGTAGAGGAAAGTTGTCTAGGGTGGTTGACTGAGGCCTAGACACCCCTAATTTAGGGTAGGCTTCTCACTCCTTGGGGCCTAGGTTATGGGATAACTTTATTCTAATTTATACGTTTATCTTCAACGTACAATATGCGAGCTTAGACTTAAAACATTATTAAATCGAAAATAATTATATTAAATAACGTTATCTCTGGTTTCTACTGCAATAGATTTATTTAAAATTTTAATTAATCAATTTGTTAGTTATTAGTTATATAACCAAAAATTACATGAATTCAATTTTATTAAATTGTGATAAGTATTGCATGTTCGATTTTAATTAGTTGCTATCTGATATAAAACGATAGTGACAAACTCAGATTTGTCGTGTTATATTGGAAATTTAAAGCCTGTCCCACAACTGGCTGTTAGAGGCTCAAATAGCTTAAAAATGACGTCACTTTCAATTAAGAGAAAGAAAACCAATATTTCCATCACATATTTTACACGTTGGATTTTTATCAGACAATTTACAATTTGGTGGGACAAGGCCTTATTGTTGCATTTATTTTTTATTGTAAAATTAATATGTATACGGATTGTGTGATTTTGAGTCTTAAGTGTACACAACGTTTATTTTCAATTGCCGACTTGCTCATTTCAATTGCTTATTGTAAGCCATAGAATAGACAACACATTACGTAATAGCGTCGATTCAATTATAACAAATAAAGAATATTTGAAAAACAATTTAAATTAAGTCCACTAATAAGTGGTTTAAATAATTTAATATAATAAATTCTATTTGATTTATTAAAATAGTGATGACCTATATTTTTATGCAGTAGAAACCATATACAGTCTGACTGTTACAATACTTTTACAGCAACTGATTACATTCATTTGTTTGGATAAATTTTTTTTTTTCTTGTTATTGGAAATTTTACTTATGTCATTGTTTTTAAAATTAAACTGTTTGTAAATCATGTTCGAAATGTAGTCACATCAAATGGAAATGCGAAATTATATCTACTCTATTGGTATTTTAAAAGAAAATCGTTTAAAAAGGTTTGTTATAATTTCACATTTCCATTAAAAACCAAATAATTTGCTATGATGACTTTAAAAGTATAACCATTTACAAAGTGACATAGAGTAAGCAAACACAGAGTGTCAACTCTATTTAGCATACTCTATGTACGTTGCTTCTGAGAAGATATTTATTTATAAAAATGTTCCTGTTACGGATTTGTCATTGTTCATAGATTATAAAACTTAATAAATATGTATTTATCAATCGTTTTAGATTAAGTTATTAATAGTTTAAGAATTTAAACGTAAGGAACCAAAATAATACAACTGTCTTTGCTTACGAGGTTTTTAGTGACGGACATACATAACTAAAACCGGAGAATATTCCCAAAGGAGTAAAAAAATCTGTACTATATTTATGTGCCAAAAATATAAACTCAACATTCAGCCGAAGTAAATATTACATTTTAACGACTCTTCCGAAACATAGATTCAATTAATTGCTTTATTAGCAATTTCTTCAAGCAATTGAATAAAACGGACAGACAATATAATAAAACGAAAGGAATTTTAATAATAATGCATAATAATTAAATATAGTTTATTATTAACTCAGAATATAGCGCAACAACTGTAAATTTAAATGTAAATATTTCAATAGACCGGACTTCGTAATAGTATAGTAATTACAATATTTCTTTAAATGAAGTTTTAAAACCAAACGCATCGAGGAAAGTGAGACAAATGCGTTAGAGCGAGATAGACGATACAGCAATATCTGTCATCCGTCTTTAGTTAAAACTTCAGATATTATGCTTGGTTTACATTAAGTCGATAAAGTACGCCAGTGGCGTCCTAAATCAGCGCTGTTGAACTGTACTGGCTAAATGTAAACGAGGCATACGGAAGTATGGTAAATACTAAAAATAGTGATTTGTGACTGTATTATCGTTTTTAAATGTAGCTATTGCATTTGTTTGACAATAATAGTTACAGTGTTCTATTTTTTATCTATTTTGTATGTAAGCACACAGCCGCACATGTTTTTGCAGCAATAATATGCAGTAGTTGTCGATGGTTACTAAAACATCTTTTAATCTGTGCGAATATTGCTTATATATTCTTTTTACTTTAAAGCTTACATCTTACAGCATTGTGTCTATTTTATAATGGAAGAAAATAATAAAAAAACTGAGGCATTAACTTCAAGTGGAAACCAAATCTTGCTCCCGTAATTTATTTAATAAGTTAAAATTTCTTATTATATTATAGCCTATTTTTGTTGATATAAATGGGAAATTCACAAGCAAATAATTCCAATCGTGTGTTCTAATATATCGCATATTCTGTGATATGTTAAGTATATGAAATTATTAAATAATTGTGTGTTAATGTATGTGTGTGTGTTGTGCTCTTCAATTTTTAAAATCTATCTGTTTCTCTTGTAAAATATTTGATATTTCGTATGAATTTTCGATAGATTGTTAAATTTTAGTCTTCAACTATAGTTTTAATGTTAAATTTGATAGAAAATGAGATAACTTAGTGTGCAAATTGAGATCTAAACTTATTTAGCATGTTCAGGCCTAAACATTTAATATATTATTGACCAAATTAAGATAATAAATGTTAAATTTTGCATATTATAAGCGGTATTGTGAGAGTATTAAAAAGATTTCTTTGTTTATGGTCAGTAAAACTTAATTTGCACATTAAGTATCAAATATTCAAAGTCTGGTCACTAATGAAGCTTAAAATAAGAATAAAACTTTTGAATTTCTGTTCCCTTACGATTATGTAATGTAGCGTTACAGTATTAGATTGTTCAGCATACGATGCTTCCATTATTTGTGTAAATAAGATTTACTTACATTGTTAGAGATTTATTGCGATGAATGAATTATATTATGATCTGATATGACAAGTTGTTTTATTTTCTATTTCCCAATGACTTTCCAATGTTTCAAAATGCGAATATTGATAAACATATCTGCCTCCGATGGCAAGTAGTACTTGAAAAGGTTAATAATAAATAACTTGGAGCCATAAGCTTCAATATACTTTATTCTTGTTACCGTTTTCATAACAGTAGATGGTTTAGCGGTAATCATAGAGTAAATATGTTTTTCGAAGCGAGTATTTCTTATCTGTTTTTGTCACATTGACATTAGACGTCAACTGCATGGCTTTCCTCTATAATCTTTGGTTATCAAATGACGTCAAACACGTCATCGCCTTTACAAAGCCCTTTTTATATTGTTTATATTTTTACTTTTCTAGTTTAATTTAAGCTAAATAAAAGAAGAGGATTTGAGTAAAAGACGAAAAGTTCTTAATTATCCATAATTTTATACCAAGTGTAAGCGTAAGGAAAAGGGAAAACCCAGTTCATTAAAAATATTGCGTCATATTTTTCGATTCTGTTATAAACAGTCTTGAAGAGTAATAAGTGAGCGCATTTTGCTACAAAGCAGTTAATTCTTTTGATGTTATTGGATGATTTCAATTCGATGCCGCCGGAAAAGCGACCCAAACGAGGTCTCAGCGATGCTGACGACGAGGATGATGATTACAGGAGACGAAGAGACAGGAACAATGAGGTATGAAGTATCTTAAATCTTAAAATAATCTCATCTTATACTTACTACTTAAGAGCATAGGAGCTAGGGTTGAATCAAGTCCTAATTCCAAAAAGAACATGCTTGAACATTTGACTAAAGATTTTTAAATTGTTAAGACAGTTATAAAAAGGGTCAAATACAATCTATACAGGTTTGTTGTGTTTTTCATTAAATTTCAGTCTCTATCTTAATGTTTAATTTAAAGTCTAATGATGTTATTACCCAATAATGTTGCAATTGTTTTAAATTATATTGTGCAATAACTTACAGGCAGTTAAGAAGAGCAGATTCAAATCAAAGCAACGAACACAGGAAACATTTACCCGAGTGAACAAATTGAAAGCGGAAAATCAAATGCTGGAAGAAAAAGTGAAAACATTAACAAAAGATCTCCAATTCTTGAAAGACTTGTTCCTGGAATATGCATCAAATTCACAGAACTCAAAATTTGCTGGATTAGATTTAGAAAAGCTTTTAGATGATGTACAAGATGATAAGAAATCTGGAAAAAGTAGTAAATGAATTGAAAATTTCACTCTTGGTTCTCGGAAAACTATAATTTAATAGTTTGCTTTTTTATTTCAATGATATCAATAAATTATGTTACTTGCCATGGTGGGTTGGTCAATTGAATTTGCAATATATTGTCTAAGTATTCCAGCTTAAAATAACTTTGTTTTCATTATCAAATCAAAATTATCAAAATCAGAATAAGCAGAAACCATAGGTATCTTAATCAGAGAGAATAGATTTTTGTGTATGTTTCTTTAGTGAAAACTGGGTTAAGTTTAAATGTGGAATTTCTTACAGGGTACATATGACAATGCATTTTTTGTTCATTAGCTTTATTATTTGAAATTTCTTTATTGCCACATGCTTTATTATTGTGCAATTTATGATATTTCTAAATCATTTGTAATCATATCATTTGTTAGAGTTAGTTTTATTTACGGTTTGGGTAAAACTTCTGCATTGGTTATTTGGTTAGTTGGTGATATCTTTTACCTTAAAACAAAATAAATAATCAAAATTCTCAAATAAAATGTCGAAATAACTATGTAGTATAACAGCAAACTTTTGAGTTTTTTAATTTTTAATTTACTCAAAATTATCAATGCAATATTCTTAGTGAAATGTATATTTTATTTGTACATAAAGACTTTAAAAAAATATATAGACAAGGCATTGTTATCAAAATTTTATCATCAGTACTTTCTCTAAAAGATACTAATATCAGATCAATTCAATTTTGAGGATCTATGTGTTAGTTATGCGAAAAATGTCACAAGTGAAGAGTCAACTTTGCCTCCTCTATATATTTTTGAATCTCTTTGTATGTATAGTAATAAATATATGCCTTTTAGTAATTAAGTTTATTGTAATTTAAGAGAAAATATAATTTTTATAAGCAAATCATCTTGTTTTATTCACAATAATTTCCTGTTTTTATAAAAAGAAATCTTAATATACTCACTTTTGTATTTTAATATAAGAAAACATATAACAGATAATTACTTTATTAGGAAATAGTAATTTATATCTCTAATTCTCTCCCTCTCTCTTCTATTCCTATGTCCCTAAAGTGGGGCAGAGGGCGTCCACAGTACGCCGCCAGCTTGCTCTGTCTTGGGCTCTACGTTGTATCTTGGACCATGATATCTAATTACTTGTATTTGATTTGAAAGTTGGTAGTAAATATAATAATCCAAGCACCTCTATGGGGATATAGGTGATGAAATCAAACAATAATGAACAGTCTTTACAATTCATTTATTTACAATATAATCTACTTAAGTAGTACAAAACACTATACATAATAGCGAAGTTTCACTGCTGAAACATCAATAAAATCCTCTCTTTTCTAGAGAAAACGACAACAGTGTTTATATTTCAGCAGTGAAAAATCAATAGTAAACAAATACTGGAAATTTATATTAATAATTTATTACATTATTGCCTATGTTTATAATGAAAATTACTACATAATGTATAGACGATCTATTCTCCAAAGATAATGGTCCTTTCACAAACTGGAGCAGAGCATACACAAACAATACATACAAAATTGAATTTTACGTAATCGAAATAAGGTTTAATGTTACTTTTCACGTCTTATTTATCAAGAGTCCTAGTCCAAGCCTAAAAGGAATATAATTAAATTGAGCTTAATGTCATTGTAATAAGGAATCTTTTTTCTTTTAAGCTAAGACTTTAAGAGTTGCAAAGTAAAATTAAACCTTATTTCAATTGTTTAAAGCGCAATTTTTTAAATAAAGAGCGGGCTCGACCATAAAATCACATAACTTTTATCGATTATTTTGTAGCCAATCCAACTTTTTAGTTGCACAACTAAAAATCGAGCAGTCCACCTCCATATAAGCTTATAGAAATAAAAACGCACAGATCACACTATCAATTTGGGATACCAACGGACAATATATCAAAGCTATAATATGAATTAAAAGTAAACAATAATGTAGTCGAAAGTATTTATTTCCAGACATTAATCACACCGTCAGCGGAGGAACTGACGAGGTAATATTTGTTCCCCTCGACGGCGGTGATGTCTGTGATGGGTGCGGTGTGATGGAAGGAGCGCGACTCCACGCTGCGGTACACGTTGTCGTCGGCGACGGACGCGTTCGGACTCACTTTAGAACACTCCTGTATTACTGTTGTTCCGTCTATTATTCTACTCCTGAAATAATGTTTTAAAATAAACATTTGTATATAAACGAAAAATGAACCGATTTGATTTTTGTCGGCATTAGAAAGGTATATTATAACAGAGCTTGGGTTATGTTATACGGTTTTTATTCTTTTAAAAGTGATAAATGAAAGTCGACATACTAATCATACTGATATTATAAATGCGAAAGTTTAGATGGATGGATGGATCTAAACTGCAGAATGGATTTCGTTCAAGTTTGGCATAGTCTGGAAGAACACATATATACTGTAACGGTAGAAGTGTAGACGTAGAAAGAGATGGATGTATTGCGTAAAAGGTGACATGATTAAGGGAGTGATGAGATGACGTATGATAGAGTTATTTTGAGGACAAAAATCTGTTAACTCTTTTAAATTTAAATTAAAAACACTTTTATTTTCTACACAAAAATCCAGCACATAAAACATAAAATCATACCCTGTACCCTGTGTGTATTTAGTTCGTGATTTCTGCCAATGCGCGCTAAAATATTACTTTGTTGTTTAAATTTGTCACGTTATCACATGCTTATGTCAAAATTATATTGTGACAATGTACATTTTATTTTGTAATGGAGAATGAGTTTGTTATGTGTAAAACATGTGTGCCATCTATTTTAAAAGCCACGGAAGATCAGCACATATACTGAGTGGTTATCACCAATAAATAAATAAATAAATAAATAAATAAATAAATAACAAAACAAAAACATTGCGCCGTACAAGAGTAGGATAAGGTGGAAGATGAGGTGAAAATATGTCTTGTAAAGTATACCTATACTTGATGGCTCCTGGCGGGCGGAGCTGGTCGTGCGGCGCGTGCAGCAGCACGTAGGAGTCCTCGGGCTGCTGCAGGTCCCAGTAGCGCAGCCGCTGGTCGCTGCCCCCAGTCACCAGGAACCCCGCGCCGCAGTACGCCGCGCTTAGGTACTGACACGCCTGGTTTATAGCAAATTTGAAGAATAAAATGGTAGTTTTCTAATAATTTGTCATAAATGGGAACTTTTTAGTGCGTGAAAAAAACTTGAGAAGCACTTATTCATACTAATATAAAGGCGAAAGTTTAGATGGATGGATGTTTGTTAGAGTTTGTAGCCTAAACGGCTGAACAGATCCCCATTTGGCTCAGGTTTAGAGCATAGTCTGGAAGGACACATAGGCTATTTTTATCCCGGAAATAGTTACGGTTCCCGTGGGATTCATTTATTTTGTATTTTAATGTTGACTAGATAATTCTGCAACGGTTCAACATATCTTACTGAAATTTGGCACAGATATAAAACAAAGTCTGGAGTACACGTGGGATAAGGTTCATCACCGAAAAAAGTCCGGTTCCCAAGGGACACGTAGTTTTTTTGTTATTTACATAGTTCGTCTGTTTTCTAATACCACGCGGACAAAGTCACGGGTAACAGCTAGTAATTACATATCTGTGAAGTCAACCCGCAGTGCAGCGTGGTTGACTATGGCCTAATCACCCTTAGGGTAGGCTCCGAGCCCCTCAGTGGGGATGTTGTTAGCTGGCGACATTATGTGTTCTTCCAGACTATGTTCTACATCTGTGGATATCCGTTCTGGATATTAGTAAGAAGTAAAATAAATGTGAAAGTTTAGATGAATTTTTATCACTATTTATCGCAAAATCGTCTAGATTTAGATGATTTTGTTATGTACAAATGATTCTAAAAGAACACAGCTTACTATATATTTTTTCAACGCTGATAATGTTGCAGATGACATAAAAGAAAATTTGTCTTTAAATTAAAAGTAGGGAATATAAAAAGCAAATACGACTTAAAACTAATCTTAATTTGTTTTATTACTACGCATCAATAGTTTTAAATAATTAAAATTTGTAGTTACTTTCGAATGAAGTGTTTTACATATATATCATATATACATATACATCTCTATTTTTTAGGCTATTCAGTGTTTTGTATGTATGTGTGCGTGTGCGTACGTGCATACCTAATGCCTATGCGTACGTGCGTGCGTCTGTGTTTGCATTTTTTAGCGCATGTGTACGTGCGTGCATGTCTTCGTGTGTGTGTGTGTGTGTGTGTGTGTGTGTGTG